TCCCCTTATCCGTGGGGTTTTTTTACCCCAAACCTCCTTGCACTTGACCCACAAAGCGCCCTCGCGCAGCCCAAGGTCTGGGGGTGCCGCAGCACCCCGTTTCCTCACATTTGCCAGCTCCTCGGAGGCTGAAACGAGTCCATCACCCCCCAAACCCTGAGCTGGAGCGGCTCGGGAACGCTGCAGGTTCAATGCATCCCCACCTCGAGGGCTCCAGCACACGGGATCCCTTCCTGCGCATCCACGGCCCCTCCCTGGCGCTGACTCATCTTCCCCCCCCTCTAACGGAGGGGAATTCATCGAGGGGCTGCATTGCAGACCCAGACACGCAGCAGACAAAAGGGAAGCGGTGACGCCTGCAGCTCCCCGGCACAAAGAGCTGGTCCAGCAGCGAGCCCACCCCTCCATCCTCGGCAGGTAAGGAGGGATGCAGGCGGAAGGGGGACGAAAAGGAAGAGGATGCTTTTTGGGGGGAAGAGATTTGTATAGAGGGGACATTGGCACCCCAGGGTTTTATTTGCTTTATCTATTTGGGGGAGGAGGCATAAGCACAGCCAGAGGGGATTAAGTGGATAAAGGTGGTTTTGCCCCCACAGGAGGAATGGACCACAGTGATCCCAGGGGAAATGCTCTTCACTGGGGATGACACACAGGATAAGAGGGTTTTGGTCGTCGTCCGTGTCGTGTCCCCCCCCCCCCCTCCCCATTGCCTTTTCTGGATATTTCTTGTTCCTAAACTCCCTTTTCCCCCTCTTTGAGGCTTTAAAATCCATTGTCCACAACATCCCTCTGCTGTTATGCAGAAAGGTCCCCAGGGAGGTATCCCCGGGGAGGAGGCTGCTTCAAAGCCCTGTGACTCAGTTTCCCCGGGGGGGGGAGTGATGGAGGAGCCTTTCCCAGCCTCTGCGTTCCATCGGTAATCTTCAATTTAGCAGCCGGGTACCCCTCATCGCAAGGGCAGGGAGCGAGGGAGGGCGTGATTGAGGGAACGGCTGAATCATCCCGGAGCGCTCCGGTCCGCAGGGGGAATCGGTGGGCAAAGAGGGGCATCTTGTTTCAACCGGTTGATCGCTGCCAAGCCATGAATGACAGCGCTGCAGTGACTCAGCTCCAGCCATGCTGGGGGAGAAGTGGGACCGCATCCCCTTGCCGCTCTCCCCCCCCTCCCTCCCCGCTCCCGGTGGGTTGGGGTGGGGATGCAGAGGGGGCTCTGCGGCACAGGGGCAGGGTGGCACCCATGGGGTGGGTGGGTGCGATGGCAACACCGAGATGATGCTTCCAGCCCCTTCTAGAGGGTTCGGTTGCGGTCCCTCGGGGCAATGCGATGCCACCCAGGGAGGGGTGGGGCATAGGCTCTGTGGGGGTGCACAGGGACCCCGCTTGCTGCTCGACCCACAGGGTGCAAGACCCTTCTGCACCGTTTGGGTTTCATCATGCGCAGCAGGGAAGGGTGTAGGGGACAGCCCGGCTCTGCTCCCTGCTAATGCCACCGCACAGGAATCAAGGTGCCTGGGATGGGTGTCAGGGGCTAGCCCGTCCTGGTCTTCCTTCCCGCACTCCCCTTTGTGCGGATGGGGAAACTGAGGCACGGAAGCACGGGTCCCATTGCACGCCCCTCCAAACTGCAGCTTAGAGAAAGGCCATGGATAAGACCAGTGGCAGGGCTCAGCTCTGCATTCAGACCCAACCTGGAGTCAAACTTCCACGACAGCACACTCTCCTGCCCCACTGATTTTTCTGCGGGTGTATCCTGTGGGATTTGGTCACTATGGGCAACACTTGAGGGTTTTGGCCGCTTTGGTAGAGCTTTTCTCCTCCTCTCCCCTTGCCCCCTTCACCCTCACAGCCCGAAGATGCTGGACACCATCAGCAGCCAGTACGATTCCTTCATCTACTGGAGGATGCCGATCCCACAGCTGGACGTGGCGGAGCTGGAGGGTCTGGGGCTCAGTGACGTGGCCCTCTACAAACCCAAAGGAGGGCTGGGCAAGCTCGTCGGCGAGCAGGATGAGGCCCGCCAGGACATCTCCCAGGAAGAGGACGGTCTGCTGCAGTTCAACAGCTTTAACTTCTGGAGAGCTCCTATCGCCAGCATTAGCTCTTTAGATTTCGACCTCATTTGAAGCCTTCCCCCCTCCTCACCCCCCCCCTGGCCCTCTCCCTCTCTGCTAGGGCTATGTCAGGATTCGGTTTTTGGTGTCGGTTTGGAGCTGGGGTTTTTGTGTTGTCGCCAGGCAGCGTCTGACACCGTCGGTTAACGTTCATGAAATGGTTCACCCTGGCCCTGACAGAAATGAGCTCCCCTCAAAGCTTCAACCCTTCTCCCTCTGCCTTTCCCTCCTTGGCACTACCGCTGGCAACACCCACGACGTCCAGCTTCGTGGGTGATGGGACAGGGGGCAAATACAAGGGGAGAGGACAGAAACAGCCACCCCATTGCCCCACATCCGCATGCCTGCGGGTGTGGGAGGTGCTGGGGGGGGTTCTGCCACCCCCTTGCACCCTGTGGCTGTGTGACCATGGGCGAACCCGTGCTCGGGGACAAGCGGTTGAGCTGATTTCTGGCGTGCTTTCGTAAGAAACTCATTTGTGCCAAGGGAATGGCGCAGACCGGGTGGGAACAGGCTTCGTTTCGCAGGAAGCATTGCTCCTGCTCCTCTCCCTCTGTGCTCCCCTAGCCCAGTTTCTCCAAAAGCCACCTCCCTGCTTAGCCAAACCCTCGGCAATGCGAGGTGGAAGAGGCAGGGATGCGTCTAGGACATGCACACAAACCTCTGCCTTGAGAGAAATCATCTCTTTGGGCCTGTGGCTTGAGCCCAAGCAGGAGAAATGACACCCAGGAGGATAAATACCCATGGAAATGCACCAACCTGCCTGGGGGGGGGGGTAAGGGCTGGGTGTTCGCTGCCCAAAATCTGCCTTTTTCTCCATTTTTTTCTCCCCCCTGTGCTTTATCCCAAGTGCTCCGGGTACCTCCTGGGAGCCGGGTGGGAAGCAAGGGCTGTGCTGAAAGATAGGGAGAATTCAGTTTGCTCTTACCCCAGAATGAAAACGCCTCTGGTTCCGCAGCCAATTGCCCCAGCCCTTTAAAAGCTACAACCACCAAAATGCTGCATTCTCCTTGGAGAGGTGTCCGGATGAAGCCTCTTCCCGAGCATCATGCCAAAACGAGGAACACAGTCCCCATCCCTGGATCATGTTTTGCTTTGAAACAGCTGTGGGCTTTATTCCCCCCACATGGGAGAGGGAACACCAGTGATTTGTCTTCCTGACGGTGGTTTCCTTTTGGCAGGGGGGTTTAATGGGGTGATGGGGAACATTTCAAGCTGTCCTAAGGGTTGAGGGGGGGGGGGTGGAAGCTCAGGCAGCAGCCACAAGGTGCCCCAAAAAGGAGGAATACATTGGGAAAACCTGCCCTTTGCCTGTAACCTCCAGAAGGGAGCCGGCAGCCGGACTGTGAACCATGTGAAGCCAGAGGTGACAAATGGAAACCCTCCTATGCAGAGCTGTGATTTCTGTGTTCCCAGCTGGGAAACCCCACAGTATTTATTATGAAACTTGAATTAAAGTACTTCAAACCGTACACGTTCCCGTGGATCCTTTAAAAAGAACCCCCGCAGGCCGGAATCTGGTTATTTCCATAATTTGCTATTAAATTGCTTTAAATCTTTTTAGGGTGCGTTAAGAACGGATGCACCCGTGTCTTCCCAAATGCTGCACAGGATTTCAATGGGGAAAGAACCTAAGTGATTATTTCCATAGGATGGATTGGGTTGAAGGGAGCTTAAAGCTCATCTAAAGCCACGGGCAGGGACAGCTCCCATTAGAGTGGGATGCTCCAACCGGCCACGAGCACTGCCAGGGATGGGGCAGCCAAACCTTCTCCATTCAACCCATTCCAGCGCCTCAGCAGCCTCACAGGGAAGAGCTTCTGCCTCAGATCCTACCCCTACGTCCCCTCAGGCAGGTTAAACCCATTCCCCTTGGGCCTCTCCCTACAGGCCCTTGCCCTGGTTTCCCATAGCCCCTTCAGGCACTGGAGCTGCTCCGAGCTCTCCCCTTAAGTTGCCTCCTACCCCAAACTTTATCCCAAGCACATTCAGGGCATTGCCTCAACCTCACCGTTTAAACGGCCTAGGGGGGGGGGGGGGAAGGGGAAGCTCCCGGAGCGCTGCCCCTCGGCTCGGAACGGAGCCCTCACAGGAGGAGGACCCACAAAGGACTTTATATACATGTACGTACACACTTGTACACACATTTACATGCACACAGACGTACCCAAACGCTTAAGGAGACACAAAACCCGCGCACCACAGCGCGGCTCCACCGCCCTTTTGTACTTGGCGCCTGAAGGCCTCTGCCGGGACTAACTGCAGGGCCGCATCACTCCAATAGAACACTGCGCTCCTCCTGCGATCCTTCCGCTGTAGAAAATACTCCCCGTTTAGGGCTCCGCCGTTGCTCGCCGCCCTCCTCCCGGGCTGGGAGGGTGCTGGGGTAAAGGAGAACGTCCCTAATCCCGCCCCGTGCCCTCTGTGCCAGCGAGGGAAGGCGCAATCCGCCCCTATTCCCCGCTAGCGGCCGGGAACTCTTTTGTTACCGGTGAGGTATCCCTCCGCCTTCACACAGGTCGGCCATTTTGCGTGGCCGCGGCGGGAGGGGCGGGAACAGCCGCGGAGGGGGCGGTGCCGCGAGGCGCGAACAGCCGCGTGCGGGGGGGGGGTGCGAGCCGCTGAGTGAGTGGGGACGGGGGGGGTGAAGGGGGGACCCCCGTGGGAACGGGGCTGGGGGGGGGGGAGGGTTCTGGGGGGCAAAGGGGGGGGGCTGTGAGGGTCCTGGAAGGGGGGGGGGGGGGGGGGGGCCTGTGAGGGTTCTGGGGGGCAGAGGAAGGGGGGGGGCTGTGAGGGTCCTGGAGGGGGGGGGCCTGTGAGGGTTCTGGGGGGCAGAGGAAAGAGGGGGGGGGGGGCTGTGAGGGTCCTGGAAGGGGGGGGGGGGCTGTGAGGGTTCTGGGGGGCAGAGGAAAGAGGGGGGGGGGGCTGTGAGGGTCCTGGAAGGGGGGGGGGGGGGGCTGTGAGGGTTCTGGGGGGCAGAGGAAGGGGGGGGGGGGGCTGTGAGGGTTCTGGGGGCGGGGGGGGGGGGGGGGGCTGTGAGGGTCCTGGGGGGCAGAGGAGGAGGGGGGGGGCTGTGAGGGTCCTGGAGGGGGGGAGCCTGTGAGGGTCCTGGGGGGCAGAGGAGGGGGGGGGGGCTGTGAGGGTCCTGGAGGGGGGGGGCTGTGAGGGTCCTGGGGGGCAGAGGGGGGGGGGCTGTGAGGGAGCAGCTCCCGAGCCCGTTTGGAGGTGATGGGAAGGGGCTGTGCTCCCCCCCCCCCCATCGTGTTTTGGGGGTCCCGTGTGGGAGCGACCCGGGTGGAGCCGAGGGGTCCCAGGCCCGCCGGGGGGTTGCTCCTGTGGGGAGGAGGGATCAGGAGCCCCCCTCCTTCCTTCCCCACACGCAGCCCCACAAGTGCCGAGGGGGGCACTGCGAGCCCTGGGTGCTGTTGTGCCATAGCGGCACCTTGGGAAGGCAGGGAGCCCCCATGGTGAAGTGGAGGGGGGAGCTGGGACGGGCGCTGCAGCCCCATGGGGCTCAGGTTTGCTCTTGGGCTTCGCTGCGATGGGTTTGTGCTGTTGGTGCCCGAGGAGGGGAGAAATAGGGAAGGAATCGGGGGGAAAGCAGCGAGCTGAAGGCTGCTGGCATCGCTCTTAACGCTGCTTGGCACCGGGCCCCTCGGCGCTGGCGTTCGTTTGGTGCCCATGAGTTAACGGCGAGGCTTTGAGGCAGGATTTGAGCCTCCTGGCAGACCCCAGCAGAGCCCCATCCCCGGGAGCTGCTGCATTCCCCATCCCCGTGCTTGTGTCTTATGGGGGTGCAGCGAGCACAGGTCCTGGTCCTTGTATGGCCTTGAGCAAATCCCTGCAGACACCAAGGTTTGCTTTATCCTGGCCAAGGGTAGCTCCCCCCCGTGCGTAGTTGTGAGTGCTGGGGATCAGAGTTGGGGATTGAGTGCTTGAAGACTCATCCAGATGCGTGCTCGCTCCTACAGGTCCTGCTCCTGGAAGTGGATCCCCATGGGCAAGGCTTCGTGTCCGTGCGAGGTGCTGTCGAGGTGAGCAGCATCGCTGGCAGGAGCTCTGCTGGCTCGCGGTGCCTGGCCCTGCCTCTGTCTGGGAGGGCACAGAGCTGAGCAACAGGATGAATATTCGTAGGTGAATTGTTGTAGATATGTATAATAGATATTTACTTATAAGGAAATTATTTAAATATTCATATATTGATATAAAAAAGGAAAATTATTAAATTTATAAAAATTAACATTAAGGAGGTGATCCTGCCCCTCCACGCTGCTCGGGTGAGACCTCACCTGGAGCATTGTGTGCAGTTCTGGGGTCCTCAACATAAAAAGGACGTGGAACTGTTGGAACAAGTCCAGAGGAGGCCACGAGGATGAGCAGGGGCTGGAGCACCTCCTGTATGGAGACAGGCTGAGGAAGTTGGGGCTGTTCAGCCTGGAGAAGAGAAGCTGCGGGGAGACCTCAGAGCAGCTTCCAGTGTCTGAAGGGGGCTATAGGGATGCTGAGGAGGGACTCTTCATTAGGGACTGTAGTGACAGGACAAGGGGTAATGCGTTAAAACTTAAACAGGGGAGGTTTGGATTGGATATAAGAAGGAAATTCTTTCCTGTGAGGGTGCTGAGGCACTGGAATGGGTTGCCCAGGGAGGTTGTGAATGCTCCATCCCTGGCGGTGTTCAAGGCCAGCTTGGACAGAGCCTTGGGTGCCCTGGTTTAGTGTGAGGTGTCCCTGCCCACGGCAGGGGGTTGGAACTGGATGATCTTCAGGTCCTTCCCAACCCAACCCATTCCATGATTCTATATTTGTACCCAGTTATTGGTAGTTTTGGGCCTGGTTCTGGGTGGGACGGTGGCGCGTCCACGTGGGCCGTGGTTGTACAGCGCTTCTGAAGTCCACGTCTGTGCCTCAGTGCTGCTTGTCCCTTTTCCCTTTCCTGGCTTCGAAAGCAGCTTCCAGCAGACACTTGTTCCCATGTGTGAAGATGTCCTTGGTGGACCTGGGGAAGAGGCTGCTCGAGGCAGCTCGCAAAGGCGAAGATGACGAAGTGAGGAAGCTGATGGCGAGCGGCGCTCCCTTCACCACCGACTGGGTCTGTCCCTGTGCTGGGTTCCGTGTGGAACGGGCTCTGTGTGTGCGTGCGTGCTCTTTAGGGCTGAACCGGAGGGCACAGATGTCAGTTGGAGCAGTAAAACCCGAGGGGAGGTTGGCAGGTGATGTGCCTCTGGGTTTCTGTGGCAGAGCAGATGCCACATAAAGCACTTTAGAAACTGTTTGTGTAAAGATTGATCTGTGCCTAATGCACACGAGCACGGTCACAAGGACCCTGTTGTCCCAGACAGCAGTATAGGGTTTGGTGTGTAGGGTTTGATGCTTTAAGAAACGCAGTTCCCAACAGCTGAGATAAATGATGAGTCGGTTCCAATGAGAAGAACTGATAAACCTCTTCAGGAATAAGAAGTTCTTCTAAAAATGCTTTATTTAAGTGTGTAAACTCCCGGTCAAGAAACTCATCTCTGGTTTGTGAGGTTTGTTTTGTTTCCACAAAGCCCCAAAACCAAACCAGCCCATCCTGGGTGGGAAAGGAATTAAGAGGTCTAATGAAAAAGAAGAATAATAGTTGGATAAACAGGAGACAAGCCCATAGTGAGGAAGCCATCAGTAGTCATTTTCCGTCTCTAATCCTTGTAATTTCCTAACTTACCACTCTGTCCATGCTTTGTGAGATGAAGGAATTAAGCAGGCCAAGAGGGAGCAGAGCTGGAAGCTGTGAATGCTCCATCCCTGGCGGTGTTCAAGGCCAGCTTGGACAGAGCCTTGGGTGCCCTGGTTTAGTGGGAGGTGTCCCTGCCCATGGCAGGGGGGTTGGAACTGGATGATCTCAAGGTCCTTTCCAACCCAAACCATTCCATGGTTCTTGTGATAATGCCCTTTTCTCGACAGTGGGGGAATGATCTCACAGTATGGAAGTGGCAGAGCTGCTGCGGCGTGGGATGGAAGCTCAGGGATAAAGGGATGGTGCAGTTTGGTGCAGTTATCAGATACCGATTCCTACAAAGCTTAACGTCTGTCAGGAAGATTATGGGGTGTGCAACCCCCTATTTAGAAGTGGAGGGAAAAAAGGTTCAGGTCGTTTCTCCCATCACCTTTGTCTTTTTGATTCCTGCAATCCACACGTGGTGGTTTCTGTGCCTGTCCCCTCTTGCTGCAATAACTGCCTCTGTGTTCCCACGCAGCTCGGGACGTCCCCTCTGCACCTGGCTGCCCAGTACGGCCACTACTCAACAGCAGAGGTTCTCCTTCGAGCTGGGGTTAGCAGAGATGCCCGAACAAAAGTGGACCGGACGCCGCTGCACGTGGCTGCGGCCGACGGGCACACGCAGATCGTGGAGCTGCTCATCAAGGTGAGCGCTGGAAGGGAGATGGGTGGTGATGTCCCTGTTGAAACGCTAGAGCAGGCCCTGCCTTTGAGGCATGAAGAGCATGCTGACAGGTAATGCTGATTTCTTGCAGAACGGGGCTGATGTGAACGCCAAAGACATGCTGAAAATGACTGCTTTGCACTGGGCCACGGAGCACGACCACCGCGACATCGTCGAGCTGCTGCTCAGGCACGGAGCTGATGTCCATGCTTTCAGCAAGTTCGATAAATCGGCTTTTGATATTGCTTTGGACAAGAACAATCCAGAGACTCTGGTGATGCTGCAGGTAGGCTGAGGAGGGAGACGTGGTGGTAGGTCTCTGACCCACAGCTGTATCTGCGGTAGAGTGATCCTATCGTGTTTGATGGGATCGGTTGTCATCAACTGCTGCGGTCCTCTAGGAGTCAGTGGGTGATAGGGTTTTGTTTCCATGCATCTTTTAGAATCACAGAATGGGTTGGGTTGGAAAGGACCTTGAGATCATCCAGTTCCAGCCCCCTGCCATGGGCAGGGACACCTCACACTAAACCAGGGCACCCAAGGCTCTGTCCAACCTGGCCTTGAACACCGCCAGGGATGGAGCATTCACAACCTCCCTGGGCAACCCATTCCAGTGCCTCAGCACCCTCACAGGGAAGAATTTCCTCCTTAGATCCAATCTAAACTTCCCCTGTTTCAGTTTGAACCCGTTCCCCCTTGTCCTGTCACTGCAGTCCCTAATGAAGAGTCCCTCCCCAGCATCCCTATAGCCCCCCTTCAGATACTTGTGTGCTTGTAGTGTAAGTTGCCAAGTTTAGGGGCAGTTTTGTCACAGCTTTTGCGCTGGTGCCCCCGACACGCTGCAGAGAGAAATTATCTGCCTCTAAAGTGTTTCAGGGGTGCTAAGCACCAGAGAAAGCATGAGCAATGTGTACCTGAGCCCACCCTCTGCCCTAGGAAGCGATGCAGAACCAGGTAAACCCTCACCCAGAGGGAACGACCCCCATCGGCAGCACTGTGGCTCTCACCTCCCCGTTCCTTCTTACGCCAGGGGAGGTTCTTGATCTCACTGAGCTCGTCTCTTCAGCAAGTGCCAAAGCAACCTCAGGTAAGGTGCTGTGGGCCCTCCGGTGGGAAAGCCTTGAGAAAAGCTCCTCCGGCTGCTTACCAGTAGAGGGCAGATGGTCATTTAGGAGAGGAAAAGGGTAAAGTGGCCGCAAACACACCCAGCTCCTGCTTCCTGCCTCCGAGTGAGGAGGGAACAAAGCAGATTTCCAGCTGCTCTTACTAAAGGTGGTGCCACCGTGAGGGGCAGAGCTCTGCTGAGCTCAGCTGTGGCTCTGCCCCAGGTCTCTTACAAGCAACAGAGCTTGAGACATGGGATTGGGCTGATTGCAACAGAGGGAAAACGAGGATTATTGCCTGTGCCAGGTCTTGGGCACTGCGGAGCGGTTGGGGAACGTTTGCTTTCATCTTTACTGCCTACAGGAGCTGAGTGGATGTTTTGCTGTATAAATGTCGAGTAGGGAAACTGCACGATAAGCAGGTCTATTGGATGTGTCCATTACTCCCCATTTCTTCTATCCCACGTGTTGGATGGAAATATTTCGGCTCCCCATTGTTCTGTGAGCCTTATTTTGGTGGGGAAAAACGCTTCAGAGCCTGAGTGCTGCGTTCTTTTTGTGTGATTTTCATCATAACTCTTACAGCGATTTTTCTGTATTGGGGGAAATTGTTTTCAGTCTCAAGGAGGCTACTAAATACAAGTTTTGTGAAGTTATTTGCCCTCCTCCTGCAAACACTTCTGCGTGTGAGTAATCCTTTGGTTAGCGAGACTGTTCACATGCGTGAATGTTTGCTTGGCAGCTAGAGAGTGCTTTTAACATCCCGGATGCTGATGTTGTGCAGTCCCACATGGACCTCTCTGCCTGGCCACGGAGGCCTCAGCAACTCTCCAGACCTGCTCCCAAAGCTTTCAGGGCTGCTTGCAGCTTTGGAGCACTGACAAACCCTATCGCAGAACCAATGTGTTCCTCTAGCACCCGTGAAGGAAATGCAGTGTGACTGGTGCACAGCGTCGTCAGTTTGTGGGATAAGGGTATTTCACAAACCCAAAGGTGCGTAGAACTTGGTGGTTTGTACCCCAGGTGATGCTCTTGCCATGATCAGCATCACTGCGTCTGCAGATGGATCAGGCTGTGCCTGGAAGCCAGGCAGGAGGCAGAGGCCCTGCTGATTTACAGCTTAAACACAGTCACAGCCTCTTGAGACCTTCTCCTGGTTCAAATGCAGCCCCTTTAGCTGGAATCGTTCTGTTCTTTCCTATTTCCCCTATCCCTTTGATGTGGAAATCGATCTCTGCCTTGGTTTCACTGGGCTGAGCTGGGTGGTGGCTCTGAGCCCCTTGAACCCAGCCGCAGTGAGCAGCGCTGCAGATGAGCTCTTGGGGCTCTCACTTCTCCGTGTGTATCCTGCAGTGTAAATCCCCTCTCTCAGTACCCAAGACAACAGTGCCTTACTGTCCACATGTGACTGGACTGAACCACCCTGGGTTTTTCCACCCCCCCAACACTTCCAGCACCGGTAACAGGCAGTCAGCTTGAAAGCAGCCCCTGTCTCCTGCTCTAAGAGGTGTCTTTAGCTGGTCTGGAGGAACGTGGTTCCAAGCTGCTGCAAACAGTCACTGGGCCTTTTGAAAGCGTCATTCATGGAAAACAAGTCCCTTGATAACCCTGATAAAGTCAGGAGGTGGTGAGAAAGGGAGACAATAGGTTGCAAGGGTTAAGGCAGGGGAACTCTGTATGAACTTCCCTTTGTGTGCTTATAATCTATTTATCTACGCTGGCAATGAGGTACAGGATCTCTGTTTTGTTTTGTTGGAAGGGGAACTGTGGGTTGGATGCGCTGAGTTTGGGCCCGTTTAGTTAATTTCCTGTTCCATTCTTACTAAGTCTGCCTTTGAATAGGAATTACTATGGTCAATTGGAGGAAGAAACATTGTTTTGGGGGCCCGAGAGGGCTTGTTTATCTCATTCACATCAATGCCCCATTGCAGTAACCGTGGTCTTTCCGTTACCGAGGCTGAGAGGGGAGGAGGAAAGGACCTGCATGCTCAGTGCATTGAAACCCAGCAACGTGTGCAGGCAGTTCCTGTCTCAGACCAAACTGCTCTGTAACCAGCTGCAGCTTGGCCCACAAAGTACTGCTGAGGAGGAACGTGGGGGCTGTAATCTGTTCATGCTACCCAATGAGTTTCATATACCCTTTGGGGTTCGCAGGTAAAAGCTGCAGTGCAACACAGAGCCAGTTCTGTACGTGAACGTGGGTCCAGTCTGTTGCAAAGGAATAGCCAAGCCCTTGTTACAGTCACTAGGAGGAAAGGCACCCCATGAAAAGCTATCTGCAGCACCCCCCTTTTCCCATTGACCACTGGGAGCCTCGGAGATGCTTCAGAGCTGGTGCCGTGGGCTCCAGGACCGGAATGGTTGCCGCCTGCTTTATTCACAGTATCACACAGGATCACAGCATGCTAGAGATTGGAAGGGACCTCAAGTTTAAGTGGAACCTCTTGTGTTCCAGTTTGTACCCATTACCCCTTGTCCTCTCGTTGTTTGCCACTGAGTAGAGCCTGGCTCCATCCTCGTGACACTCCCCCTTTGTATATTTATAGACACTGATAAGGTCACCCCTATTCACGTCGAGCTGTGGCAGGTCCTGAGGCTCCCGTTTCCCCAGCAGGTGATCGCCATGGCTCCACGGTGCAGTTTGCCAGCTCCACCACCTCCGTGCTCGCCACGCTCGCAGCCCTCGCGGAGGTGTCGGCACGTTCAGGTTTGTGTCGGCAGCATCCTGGGAGGAAATGGAAGACGTGGAAGGGATTTTTTGCCTCGTTTTCAGGGTAAAGAAGAGAGGACGATCAATATTTGGGAAGCAGGGAGTGAATTTGGGGCTTTCATCCCAGTTGGAGCATGATTCAAAACCCAGCAGCTGTTCCCAATCGAAGTAACTTAGTTTTTATTAGCTGGCGTGTGTGACTGCTCTTGACAGGTTTTAACAGATACTAAAAAGAGAAACAAAAACCAGCATGGGTTTACTTGAACGTCTAAATGTAGATGAATACTGATTTAGGAGGAATGGGCTGAAATGGTTTCTGGCCCGGTCTCATACACGGTTGGTTGTCAGCAAATGGTTTGAGTCTCCTGAAGTTCTGGTTACTTTTTCTTAGGGGAAGGTTTGGGTGGGTTTTGGGGTTGTTTTATGGTCTTTTATGTTTGTAATGTTTGACCTGTAACTTCAGATTTAGGACTCTGATAATGTCTATATAATCCTTTAACATTCACTTCTTTTCCCCAAAGCCAGGTGGTTTCCCTAGACTCTAGAGAGGGGCAGTTCCCCTTTAAGCTCCTTGACCTGGGCTGCTCGAGTGCTTTCCTCTCTTAGGGCGTCTGCGTCGCCGGTTGGATCCCGTTTCCTGCGCTTGCAGCTCACCCTGAGAGCAGGATGCAGCCCGGGCTCTGCAGTCCTGATTCCTTGTACAGCCCATAAGTCACACAAAAAGGGTGCCAGGAAGCTGAACCTCTCTGCAGTCACCCAGCCAAGCTAAACAGCCTCCTCAGGGCTGCTTTGGCCCTGCTGGTGTGGATGGGGCTCTTGAGGCACTTTTGGCCTGTGGTTTGTCTTCATTAGAGCTGGGTCACGGAAGGAAGCTTCCCAGAGCCAGCTCTGCTTAACAGCTGCCTCCAGCTGCAGGCTTTTTGATTGACCCACCGTGCTGCTGTGCTAGCACTCCTTGCCTTACACCACAACGTGCTGGTTTTGCTCTAGAGCACTGGTTTTGCCTGGGGTGTAGCAGGTTGTCTTTCCCCTCTGAGCTTTGCTGCACGTCCGGGTTGTTTCCCAGATGCAGGCGTCCCGCGAGCCTCGAGCTGCAAGCTTGAGTTTGTGTTCAAGGAAGGGAGAAGGAAACCCTGACGTTCTTCCTCTTCTTTTCTGGCACTTAATTCCTCAAGGTAAGGCAGAGGAGGCAGGGGAAGGAAATCCTGTGGATTCTGCCATACAAGAAGTGGTTGGCAGCGGAGGGCAGCGCCTCATCGCCATTGTGTCAGAGAGCATTTCCCTGGGCAGCCTGCAGACAGCCCTCCCCAGCAGTGGCCTCAGCCAGCCCTTCATCCTGAGCGTGCAGGATGGGCAGCAAGGTAAGGAGCTGAGCTGGGAAGGCAGTGCCGAGGAGTCCCTTTAGGAGGGGGTAATACAGTTAGTGCTGCCCGTGAGCCCTGTGGAGCGCCGGAGGGCTGGTGCGGTCAGCACTGTGGTGTAACAGGTCTGTGCCTCAGTGCTGGGCTCCAGGAGGGCTTAAGAAGGTCTCTGTGGCTCACACTGGCAGCAGAGCTTGCGTGAGACCTCTTGGTAGCGTCGTCCACGCTGCCAGACTGCGATATCCCAGTCCTTGCATCAAACCCAAACAGCTTCAGTGGAATGCTGCGGGAGGAGAAGCGCAGAGTTAGCCGCTGGCTCTCCAGCAGCCAGCCAAGGACAGTTCCTTTATCTTATGGCAGACTTCCCAGTATGGGAGTAAATCAGCCTGCAGATGGAAGAGCAACCTGTTGCCTTTAGCACTCACTCCACTGTTCTTGGAGAACTTCATATTAGGCCCTTAATATCAACTTAAATACACCTTTCCCCCCCCGTAACGCTGGTCATAGAGCAGTGTGATCCCTCAGTTTTACAAGGCACGTGTAAATAGTGTTTAGTAAAGCAGGGCAGAGCCCCAGGTGCTCATACAGTGAATTGTTGTGTCCTCAAGGGATGGAATTCCTCAGCCTTGACTACTCCTGACAATTCTTTTAGCGTGTCCTAGGGATACTCAATGATTTGGATTAACACTGGTGCAGCCGAAGAGGATTAGGGAGCAGCGCAGCTCTCCTGCAAGGTGCATACAGTGCTGCAGTGCAGGATGGGCTGCAGCAGTCCCGTTTATGGACTTCATGAGCTAAGAGCAATATTCTGAGGCTGATGATGGTTCAGAATCCAAGAAGGAATTCCTGGCTTGTAACCCCTTCTTAGGCTAAGGAAGAAAAAGGGAGAACTGTTTAGCGCTGCCTTCAGGAGCTCACGTGGTGCCTTTCCCCCCCTTGGTTGGATGAATTCCTGCTATTGGCTTCCCAAAGCGGGCCCCCAGTGTTTGCAGGTTGAAAATGTAGAGTATTTGTGCCTCTTGCGTGCTCTTAAAGCGGATCCAGAGCTTGGCCATGGGACTGTGTACGGGGAATTTTTAAGGAGAGCTTTCTGTTCCTGTTGCTGAGCCTGCCTCAGCATTACCGAGGCATCAGAATGATCGTTTGTACCTCCCTTACCTTTTAAGATGCAAATATTTGCCTGTGGGTTCTGTCAGCCCCATTGCAGTGACATACTTGGGTATTTCAGGGGCCTGAATGAAGGAAACTGGAAACCCAGTCCAGAGTTTCTCTCCTGTCCAGGCAGACTTGGGCGTTCCTGGTCCACAGGTCTCCTCCAGACCCACGCCGATGGAAGCGGCTGTGCAAGAGCCTGTCTCGCACTGGGTAACTTGTCCCCTTTTCATTCTGCAGTGTTAACTGTACCTGCTGGCCAGGCTGCAGAAGAGACTGCTCTCGAAGACAGAGCTTGTGCAGAAGAGGAGGACCAGCCCGTGGCCAAGAAGCAGAAGGTGGAACAAAACGCCTGTGACTCGGGAGGAGACAAGGTAGATATCCCTGCTCCTGGCTTGGGTTGCTGTCATCTCCCGTGTGTTCCCATGCCTGGCTTCTGCTCTGCCAGAGCCACCTCGGGATAGGAAGGAGCTGTATCCTGCTCAGCTGAGCCCGGCTCTGGAGCAAGCTCTGCCCAGAGGTTCCCTGCTCTGCCTGCACACACACAGGCCTGCGTTAGCAGTGAGCACCCAAGCGGTCGAGAGGAGCGAATCTCAGTCCAGCGCGGGCAGGAGGCGAGGAGGCAGCTGAGCCATTTGTCAGCCCTTTGCCTGTGCTGAAGCTGTGCCTCAGTTTGTTAGATGAACTGTGGTCATTTCCCAAGATGATTTAGGCCTTCCTGCAGAAGCCCAGCCCATGGACTGGGTGTAAACCAGGCCTCAGCTCTTCACAAAGCAGCAGGACCGACCCTCCCATCTCTCTGTTGGGAGGGAGAACATTCTCCTCAGTTGCCTCCCAGCTTTTCAGCCCTATTTTTCAGCTCTTTCTTTTCCTTACCTCTTGGTTACCCCTCCTTCCAACCCTTGAAATTCATCGTGGGTCCCTTCCCAGCCCACCTCCCCGCACACCGTGAGGACAACGAGCAACCAGTCTGTGCCTTCCCGTGTCCCCGTTGCCTCTGTGATGAGCACGGCAGCTGACTGGAGCTCGACCCAGGGCTGTTCTAGCGCTGCCTTGGAGCAGTTTGCTTTCCTAACTCCAGCTGCTGGAGCGCTCGCCCACCCCATCTCCCTCGTGGCATAGGCTGGGGCTCCATCACGGGCTCTCTCAACTCTGTTTTCTGTAGGGCAGCCTTGAAGGGGAAGCGCTCCAGCAGCAGCTGCAAGAGGCGAAGCGGGAGGCTCAGGAATACCGCAGCCAGCTCCTAAAGAAGGAGCAGGAGGCCGAGGAGTACAGGCTGAGGCTGGCAGCCATGGGCAGGCAGCAGCCCAGCCCGGCGGAGCTCCCCCAGGCTGAGCCACTTGTGGTAACCTCGGAGGGCATCGAGGAATCCGTGTTGGCCATGCTGGGAGCAGACCTGGCAACTGATGGTGCTGTGGAAGCTGCAACCTCCTAACCCTGGTGCTTGTAAAGGCAGAGCAGGGAGGGGGTTTTGTTGGCAGCCGCTGTTGAGTGGCCAGGGGCAGCCACTTGCCGCAGAGCCCTGCTTTTAAAGCTTCACCTAGAGAAATTGGAAGCTTTTGAGGAACATTTCCACGGGCGAGTGACCCCATGGCTTACTTTGTGATGTCGATCCCTGCCTTGCTGGGGAGGGGGAAGGAAACACCTCCTTGCCAAAGCGGCTGGTGTTAGCTCTCCGCTGCCCGGAAATGAGAGCGCTGGGAACAGGCGCTCTGGAATAACCCAAGGCGTTCGCTCCCTTCTGTGAAGTCGAGTGAGCAGCTCTGGACCTTCAGTAAAAGCGGTCTCCTAGGGCGTTGCTTTGAAAACCCTCAGAGGTGTGGAAGGGATTTCCCCTTTCAGCCAGAAAGGGAATGAATTCCCTGTCCCTTTTCTTCCAAGCCCAGGAATCTCAGCTTTCTGATTGAGTGCAAGAGCAGAGGCAGGGGTGAACGTCCGCCAGCCAGAGCATCTCGTGCTCTCGGGGAACGCGGTGCTTCCCCCTCTTTCTTTGCTCAGGGGAGTTCTGGCAAACCCCCCCCACAGCCTGAAGGGATCACCAGGAAATGCCTCCTGCATTGTAGGGTGTTTGGCAGATGCTCTCTTTGACACTGCCTGACTACTGATGTATGCAAACGTCTGCACGCAGCGGCTGCCGCACGCAGCTCGGGTGAGGAGCCCGCTCTGCAGATCCGCACCTCGCTTTTGTACTGTGCAGTGTTCAAGGGAACCAAAGCCTTTTTTAAGGAGCAGCTGATCTTCATTACCCAAAGATTCCTGCCTTGTTTGCTCTTTGCAGACCTGTTTGACGCAGGGAGCTCTTTAGTCCTGCGCACTGTGGGCTTCCAAAGCCGGGAGCGGATCGGAAGGGCCCAGGGTAACCGCGTGGAGCTTGCTGATGGGTGCTCGTGCAGGGAAGTTTAGGGGAACACCACAGACCAACGAAGGCTGGAAAGAATCCCATGACACAAACTGGGCCGTCAGTCACAGGAAGGATCTAAGGGTGAAGAGGGGCTTGCAGCCCCATGGCGCTGCCTGCTCGGGGGGTGGCTTCTTGCAAGATAAAAGCCCTCGCTCTTCTGGCCCCTCATCTGTTGCTTTGGGGGTTGATTTTTAGGGGTTTGTTTTGTTCCAGGTTTGGAACCACTGTCAGGATTCGAGGTAATACTTTGTTTTGCCAGTCCTTGCATTGCATTTTCCCCTGTTACTTCCAAGTGTGTGGGGCCAAGAGTGGTTTTCTCTTGGTTCAGGCACTGCCTTTGTTAATGTTTCTTTGCCAGTAGATCAGTCCCTGTCCTGACGTCGCCGATGTATCGTGGCCTAATGAGTCCGTAAAGGCTCCGAGGGAATTCCGTCACGGCTCTGAAGGAATTAGCCCAAGAGGAGACTGCTTTTCATCCTAAACCAGTCCGTGCCTGGCAGTTGGGCCTGAAGGGAAGGCAGGATCTGCCAGAATCCCCTCTTCAGCAACGTGCTGCCCTCGGGCTCACCGCGAGCGGTGGGCGACGAGGGTTTCCGACCCTGCTGTCGTAAAGGCTTTGTGAGACTGGAGGGTTTGGGGAATCCAAGTGCATTTATTTATAACCAGTGCAGCTCTATTTATAAACGAGACTTTTTTATCTTTTTTTCTTCCAAAAGCTGGTTTGAAGAAGGCTTTAATACTTCTTTTTTATGAGGGAGGGTTTGGAGGTAACTTGGGGTTCCTGATCCCATCACCAGGTCCTTGCTCACCTCAAACGCGCAGTGGGTTAGCTTGTTCCCCACAGCATTGCCAATTTGGGTCTGTTTGAACCGAGAATCGGCCTCGGAGGGTTCCCGTTGGTATTAAAGGAAATCCAAGCAGATTCTTCCAAGCCTGGAAGCGTTTCTGGATGCAAAGGGGACACTGTCAGCTTGGGCTTCCACCTTTTGCCTGAAGTTTGTGCTTAGTGCTGCTGAATACAAAGAGCTCAGCAGCTGTGTGTAAGCACTGCGTTTATATGCAGCGTGTGTAGATACGCACGTAAGCACTGCACTGGGGTCTTCCACTGCCCTGCAGTGCTCAGTGACTCCCAGCCTTCTGAAAAGTCCCTTGAGCTGAGAAACCAGCCTTGCCCTTCACAGGAGGAGGAGAGAAAAACCCAGCCCGCCACCAACAGAAAACCCCAGTGGCACTTCCAGGAGCGGGATTTGGTTTCTAGAGGTGGGATGCACGGAGCTGACGGTGTTCTTCCTGCTTCTCCTTGCTGGGGGGAAGGCCACATTTGGTTTGTGTTTAGCACGGGTTCTGAGCAGCGACGAGGAGAATCTGTTCTCCACCCAGCACTGAGAAAGAATTCAACCCTGGCTGTGTCCCCTGCTCCTCCGCAGCAAGGATTTGGAGCTTTTTAAGCCAAGCCCAGCAGTTTTGGGGTTAGGGGCACGGTCAGCCAGGGCTGCTGTGAGCGGGTCAACAGCCTCCCACCCGAGTGCAGGCCACATGCTGCTGCGTCAGGGCTTTTCTGGCCCACGCCGCCTCCGTCCTCGCGCTGCGAGCGCAGGGTTTGAGGAGGGTAAAGGCTAAAACCTCCCGTGGCTCTCAAAGGAAGCTGCCCTCTGCCCACACAGCCAGCCCAGCCTCCTCCCCGCTGCGAGCCTGGCATCGCATCCCCTGCGCGCTCGCCTGCTTCTGCGGGTGGGAGAATCCCAGCGCGCGTCCCAGGGAGGGCGATGCAGGGGCAGGGACCCCTTCCACTGGAGCAGGATGCTCCAACCTGGCCTGGAGCACTGACAGGGATGGGGCAGCCACAGCTTCTCTGGGCACCCTGTGCCAGCGCCTCAGCACCCTCACAGGGAAGAGCTTCTGCCTCAGAGCTCATCTCAGTCTCCCCTCGGGCAGGTTAAAGCCATTCCCCTTGGCTGGGCCTTCCATCCCTTGTCCCAAGCCCCTCTCCAGGTTTGTCGGCCCCTTTAGGTGTTGGAAGGTCTGCCCTGAGCGTTCAGACCTGCAGCAAGGTCTCCCCTTGAGCATTTCCCTCTTGTTCACAGTGCCCAGCTCTAAGCAGCTCCCATTGCCCTGGGGCTGTTGTAAAGGTGATGGGGATGAGCAGAGGAGGTCGTGGGGACCACGAGGGCAGGGACAAACCCTGGCTCTTCAGCTGAGTGTGGCGCAGGTCCCTGGGGCTTTCCCCATCCCAGCTCCCACCCGTCCCGGTGCCCACGGGGCCCTTTTGGTGCCAGATCCGATTATTTCTTTAATCCTGCCTCGATGAGCTTGGGTCACCGGTGCCAGGCGCGGTGCTGGGGTTTAGCACGGCAGAAACCGGTGCTTCACAGCAGCCCCCAGCAGCGCTGTGGGGAGGAGCCCCCACGCTGGGAGCCCCATTCCTGGAAATGCAGGAATTCCAACATTTATAGTATTGGGGGGGGGTTGGACTGTGTTTTATACTCAACATAAAAAGGACGTGGAACTGCTGGAACAAGTCCAGAGGAGGCCACGAGGATGAGCAGGGGCTGGAGCAGCTCCTGTATGGAGACAGGCTGAGGAAGTTGGGGCTGTTCAGCCTGGAGAAGAGAAGCTGCGGGGAGACCTCAGAGCAGCTTCCAGTGTCTGAAGGGGGCCTATAGGGATGCTGGGGAGGGACTCTTCATTAGGGACTGCAGTGACAGGACAAGGGGTAACGGGTTCAAACTGAAACAGGGGAGGTTTGGATTGGATCTAAGGAGGAAATTCTTTCCTGTGAGGGTGCTGAGGCACTGGAATGGGTTGCCCAGGGAGGTTGTGAATGCTCCATCCCTGGCGGTGTTCAAGGCCAGGTTGGACAGAGCCTTGGGTGCCCTGGTTCAGTGTGAGGTGTCCCTGCCCACGGCAGGGGGTTGGAACTGGATGTGCCCCCGGTGTCAGCCCCTTCGGGTGCCCCCCCTGCACCATCACCAGCCTGGACCCCCAGTGTGGGCTCAGGAGCCCGGTGGCACCTTCCCCCCCATCCCATCCCATCCCATCCCCATCCCATCCCCCCCATCCCATCCCATCCCATCCCCCCCATCCCATCCCATCCCATCCCCCCATCCCATCCCATCCCCCCCATCCCATCCCATCCCATCCCCATCCCATCCCCCCCATCCCATCCCATCCCATCCCCCCCATCCCATCCCCCCCATCCCATCCCCCCCATCCCCCCCATCCCATCCCATCCCATCCCCCCCATCCCATCCCATCCCATCCCCCCCATCCCATCCCATCCCATCCCATCCCCCCCATCCCATCCCATCCCCCCATCCCATCCCCCCCATCCCATCCCATCCCCCCATCCCATCCCCCCCATCCCATCCCATCCCCCCATCCCATCCCATCCCCCCCATCCCATCCCAGAGCCAGGCGGGCACCAGCGTGGGAGCAGCGCGGCTTTAATGAGCCCCGGTCCTACACAGTAGGATGCGCCAAGCTCCGGCATGGAGGAAAGGGGGGGGGCACGGTGGCAGCTCCCCCCCCCCCATCCAAAGCACCAAATAAATTAGAAACGATCCAAACCCCCCCAAAAACGGGCAAAGGAAACCCCTGGGGACGGGGTGAGCGCAGGGCAAAGCAGCGGCACCCTCCGCACCCTGGACGGGGAGGGGGGGGGACACACGGGGGGCTCAGGGCCAGCCGGGGGCTGCCGGTGCCTGCAGGGGCTTGGGCAGCAGCGGGGGCTTCACGGAGCAGGAGCGGTGCAGGGCTCCGGGCCCCCCCATCGAGCGCATGCGGGTGAGGCCCCGCTCCGGGCCGGGGGTCCTGCGGGGGAGCCCCCCCTCCAGCGAGTGCCGCTGGGCCAGGGCTCGGCGGGCCGGGGGGGGGCTGTCGGGGGGCACGTCCAGGCGCTGCGGGCCGGGGCCTCGGGGCTGGACCCGGTTGGAGGAGCCGGGACCGGGCGGGGGGGGCAGCCCCGGGCGCTGCCGCAGCTCCTCCAGAGCGGGCTCGGGGCTCGGGGGGGGGGGTCCCGGCCCCGCGGGCTCCAG